GGGGAGAGTTAGAGTGGGGAAAGGGATGGCCGTAAGAAGGGTCGGCGTTGTCCTCGGACTCACGGACGAAGAGTGCAGGGGGGAAGAGGAGGACAAAAAACAGGCCAGACCGGCGTGCGTGGGTCGAACGGTGCGGGTTTCACGGCGTCTTCCCTTTCAATTAACGGTATCCTATCTGTCCTGCGATCGTCTTCCCTTTCAACTGTATGTAGGTCGAGCCAATGAATGCGTCTGCCGGAGCGTGTAGTGGTAGCCGCCTTGTTACTGTCGGAAGGGATGGGAGTTGGCTACATCTAAGACTTGCTGTTTGGCCACGTCTCCATGTCAAGGAAGATTGTCTTTAGTCGGTCTTCTTTCCCAATGTGGTCGACGATGAAAATCTTTTCTTCTGGTCTGCGCACTCTGAAAGGTCCGTCGTAGATGGGTTGGAGTGGCTGATGGACGGCATCGCGTCTGATGACTGTGCGTGCACATGGCAATTCTTTCGGGGTGAATGAAATAGTGGAATGTTAGAGAGGTTGTGTAATTTTCAGTTTGTTCATTGGCACCTGTTCCCGCTAAACGTGGTTGGATGGGTCTGGCCGTGCTGGTTGTGAAGTCGCGGTGTTCTACTGCCCAGGTATTCTTAATGTTGTTCCGAAAACCATTTCATCAGAGAAGCACTTTAAATCGAATTGCGGGTGGTACGAGGAGTAACGCGTCCGTCCAACTGTGTGCTGTTATGGAACGCCGTTGAAAAGTCAACGCATTTCCCGAAATATTTTCGTGGCTAAGGTTTACCAACTCAGCTGTTTACAAAAGCTGGTCGATGCTTTCTGAAGTGTTTACGACATGGATGTGCAGGCCAGATAGAGCATTGGCCACAAGTCGGGTGTGAGGGATTTCTGTCGGCAAGTAGTAATTGAGGAGCCATTAGCTGCTGAGAAAACCATGAAGGTGTTTGGGGCTCGTATTGAAAGGGTCATGGTGGAGTATCACAGATATGTCGGCTCCAATGTAAATGAAGAATCCCATACCCGTTGACGAATCAAACAAAAATTGGCGGTGGAGTGCGTGCCCGTGGGCAGTGGACGCCACTACTGCTGGGCTTTCTCGTGTCCCGATTGACGCCTCGACCAAGACTTCGACACGTTGAACGAGAAGAGGACCCGCAACAAGACCGCGAGCGATTCCGCCTAAAAGGGTTTGTTACCTCCTCTACCGCGGGGAGGCCGGACTAATTAAGCATCGATTGCCCCTTCGATCTTGACTACGGTGTCCTTCAGCCTCTGCCTCGGGAAAAGTGTTTTGTCTGCGCAATGACGTTCCACTTTTATCTAGGTCCAGCCTTAATTCCTGAGACTTGTGTCAATTTAGTTGTGTAGAGGTCGAGTTTAGCACTGCCACAAAACCCCATAGATAACTGCCGGTCACAACCCGAAAACAGAGAAGGCAGAGTCGAAAGAGAACACTACCGCTTATTCGCGTCACGCCAGCCAGGTGTCTTTGTGTGCGTATGAGTACGCGTGGGTACCGGGCGGCTGCTAACAGAAGTCAATAGCAGAGGGGGTGAGTCATTGGTACACTCGGGCCAAGGTGCAGGCATCACTCACGAGGGGTGGATGTCTGTCCACTGCAGGGTTTCGAGAAGAACCTTTGAGCAGATCAGTCGGATGCTTGGCTACTTTGGATATTTGACAGCTTACGCAATTTCTAGCCCGATTCATAGCAATCGGGACATGATGACTCGACACCAGCCTTGGTGTTGCCCGTTGACCAGAATGAGAAAGATCGTGAAGGGCTTGGAACACTTGGCGTCGCATCGGCATGGGTACGATGCGACGTTACATCCGAAGATCTACATTTTAACGCTGCTTTGCCGTTGGTTTCATGATACCAACAAAGGTGTGGAGATGGTGATCCAGAAGAGGACCTGCGAAAAGACCGCGAGCGATTCCGCCTAAACGGAGTTGTTATGTCCTCTATCGTGGGTCGGCCGGATCGATAAATCATCGATTGTCCCTTCGATCTTGACTAAGATGTCCTTCGGTTCGGCAAGTTCTCGGTACCGGATCCCTTGCTGAAGCTAGAAGCGACCTTCCCAGGCTAATACAAGAACAAAGGCGTGTAGAGAGCTTTATTCACGTCAGCCACGTCCAGAATATCGAAAGTGACCTTGACTTGATTAAAAGCATAACAAAACACGTTGGTTGGGGTCGGCCACGTTTTGACCTTATCTGTCTTATCTGGGTCTGTTCTAATACCCTCTTTCGAGACAATGTGGCCCAGAAATTTTTCCGAATCCCTTAGGAGTGATCACTTGGCCGGGTTAAGCTTCAGCCCTGCCCCTCGCAGACTCTTAAGGTGTTGAGCACCGTCCTTTGCATGAACTATCACGTCGTCCATATATACGAGACACTCCTTTTGTGTGTGCCCTTGCAAGACAGTGTTCATTAGTCTTTGAAATGTCGCTGGGGCATTTGACAGGCTAAAAGGCATGGTTTCGAACTCATAGAACCCGGGCGGAATTGCGAATGCTGACTTCTGACGGCGATCTGGATTGATCTCGACTTGCCAATAGCTCGACTTTAGGTCCAAGGTAGAAAAGATGGTCGACCGACCCAGTGCGTCAAGCGTCACATCCATACGCGGGATGGGAAAACTATCTTTTACTGTTACTTCGTTCAGCTTGCGATAATCTACGCATAACCCAATGGAGCCGTCCTTCTTTTTGACGACCACGATGGGTGATGCCCACGG